AGCGTCACCCACTCTGCATTCATGCCTAAGGTAGAACTAGAATTCACTTCAAACTTGCTCTACTTTTTTCACTCTTATTTTTATTGTGAATGGATTATTTATGAATCCTTAGGAAATGGGATGTATCTATGCCCTTCACCCCTGTGCTCAACAGGGGGTATATATCACACATCAGACACAAGTGCATATCACACACCGCGCACAAAAGTAAACGTCTACCACCATTTTTTCCCCTGCATTTGCAGAAATTCTACAACCAGGTTTCGACTCCACTTCTCAAAAAACTGGACTTCAGCTATCCTAAAGGCTTGGTGTCTGATGTAACCCAGAGCACCTTCCAACATTATTTTGGAGGGTCAGAGATTGTGGTGTCAGGAAAAGTTGACACTGAAAACGTACAGCATTTACAGAGCATGGTAACAGCCACAGCGGTAAGTCCACACGGATAGTATAACCAAAAACGATGAGCTTGCGAAGAGGTGGCAAGTCGCTCAAACTTTTGTAAAGAAATTGGAAGTTTTCTGAACTGAAGCAGATTGTATGTAATATGAAGAATGGTTGCAGGATTTGGGCTTGGCCAGTTTAGACAAAAGAAGAACCAGGGGGTGACATGATAGCAGTATTCCAATATTTGAGGGGGTGCCACAAAGAAGAGGGAGGGGGGGTTAAATTATCCTCCAAAGTTCCACAAGGAAAGACAAGAAGGGACGGATGGAAACTAAACAAGGAGAGAAGCAACTTGGAATAACGGAGAAATTTCCTAATGGTGAGAACAATGAACCAGTGGAACAGCTCGCCACCAGAAGTTGTGGGGGCTTCATCACTGGAGGTTTTGCAGAAGAGACTGTACAGCCACCTGTCTGAAATGTTATAGGGTTTCCTGATTAAGCAGGGGGCTGGACTAGAAGACCTCCAAGGTCCCATCTCTATTATGATTGATTGATTGATTGTACGGTATGTCTTTTTCCTGGTATTTTTCCTCTAGCTAAGAGAGCCCACTTAGGCGACAGAAAAAAGTTTGTCTTGGCTAATCCTGAAATGTTAAGCAAGGTTAGGACTTGGATGAGAGAGTCCAGCAAAGCCTACGGAAGTTCAAATTGTCCTCTACACTTCCAAATTCAAAGTTACAATGACACTTGAAAACTGACTTATGACCATTTTTCACACTTATGACCGTTGCAGCATCCCCGTGGTCATGTGATCAAAATTCAGACGCTTGGCCACTGTCATGTCTCTATGACGGTTGCAGGGTCCCAGGGTCATGTGACCCCCCCTTTTGTGACCTTCTGACAAACAAAGTCAATGGGGAAGCCAGATTCACTTAACAGCTGTGAGATTCACTTAACAACGGCAGCAGGAAAGGTCGTAAAACGGGTCAAAACTCACTTAACCATTGTCTCGCACATGACAACAGAAATGTTTGGGCTCAATTGTGATTGGTAAGTCGAGGACTACCTGTGGCCATTTTTAGTGGACTGTGAGAAGCCTGAAATATTGAAGTTGGCTTTGCTAAATGATTTCTCTTATTTCTCTGGTTTTCTTTTGTCAATCAGTCCAACACGCAGTTAATCTTGGAGACTCTGGCAGGTGTTGAAGAACTGGATGAGTTCCTGGACAAGGATAAGCACGCTGACCCCAAATTCACGGAAAAGTTGTGGGCCTACCTGACTGTCAACCAACTCATGGCGGAAAGGTGAGAAGGGAAGACGGGTTGGTTAGAAAGAACCTGGAAGAACATGTCTGTGGAGATGGTCAGTCATCCAGGTCATGGTTGTCCCAAAGGTGCTTTTTTCAAGAGGCAACTGGACTTTCTGGTTTTTCTTTGAAGACGTTTCACTTCTCATCCAAGAAGCTCATTCCACTCTGACTGGACGGTGGGGAATGGAAGGGTTTATACTCCTTGCAGACAGCTGGTCGTTTGCATTCTTTTAGAGAGTTGTTGAGGCCGCTTGGAGGTTTATCTGTGTCCAAATGGATGTGGAGCCTTCTTGGAACTTGGAAAGAACTGTATTATAGACTGGAGATAGATGATGTGGTATCCCTTCCCTTCTGTTGAGAGAGGGCTGTTCAATTTATGTCAAAATTCTCCAGGGGACTTTAATGACTTGCCACTATCCAGTTAGAGCTGAAGAAGCTTCTTGGATGAGAAGCAAAACATCTTCAAAGAAAAACCACAAAAGTCTAGTTGCCTCTTAAAAAAGCACCTTTGGGACTGGAAGAACATGGCTATTTTTAACCACTGCCTGAGTTTATACGCTATCCTGATCCAGTTCACAAGCAAATACAGACTGTCCAAAACCTGGCTAGTATTAAACTCGGTTGGTTTTTTACATGATTTACTAAGTTGTATAAACTTATCCCATCCCATAGTTTATAATTCAAGGTATCGCCTAATTAGATAGCACTCTTTAGCCAATCCTGTTGGTCCGTGAAAGGTAACCAAGGTCAGGATGTAGATGGAAGACCACAAGGAAATCCAAGGATTGGGAGATCAAAGTAATACCTTAGAAGAAGGCAGCGGGAACTTTGTGCCAAGCCAAGGAAGTGATAAGGATTGCCAGCTAGAACTCACCCCGAAGATGCAGAAACCCACCTACCTGGAGATGACGGGTGATGGAACAATCCTACAGCAGGTATTGTACTGTTGCAGCCAGGGGATCAAGAAGAATTGTGAGAATATTGGCTGGGGAAGAAATTGAAGAGAAAGTAAAGGGCCACCATCAAGAGATATAGACAGTCGTTGACTTACAGCCACAGTTTTTGGTGGTGATGGTTTGTTCTCTGGGCTTTCTATTTAGCTTCCGAACTTTTCAGCCAACCAATCTCTTCAGAAAATCATAGTCCACATCAAAGCTGATTCTGAGACAGAACAAAGAGATATCATCCTAGATATGCTTTTCCACATTTTTCTGAAACGTTGGCAGCTTCAGTTCCCCCCATAGGAAGAGAAAAGATCAAAATAGGCATATCCTTTCAAGATTGTCCTCTTACTGAATCCTACCTTGGCTTCAACCCTACTTGGTCCACAAGTCTTAATATTTCACAGTTTGGAGATCCTTGTTCTAAACTGATGGCTTTAGTTGGCTCGATTAATGTCAGACACAAAGGATAATGACCATAAGCAAAGCTGGTCATGTCGTGGAACATGCCACTGACTGGCTGATGATGTCGTGTGAAGGTCACCAAGTGAAGAACGTCTACGGAGATTCTCAGCCATCCAGGTCATGGGGGAAAAAAGGTACTTTTTTTCCACTCAAGAGGCAACTGGACTTTCTGTTTTTTCTTTGAAGACATGTCACTTCTCATCCAAGAGGCTTCTTCAGCTCTGACTGGATGGTGGGGAATGGAAGGATTGATATTTTTTGCGGACAGCTGGTCCTTTGCATTCTTTAAGCAAGTCCTTCTGGGTTCGTAGCCTGGCTCCAAATTGACCTGTTTGTTGATCAATCCATTGGTAGAATGCCAAGCTTCAATGATCAGATCAGTCAGTCACACAACCTGCCACATGGCATGACCAGCCAGTCACACAACCCACCACCTAAAGGACTACACGAGATCGATAAAAGCGTAGAAAAACTGAAATATGACTCTTTAACCAAAGTCCCACTGAGGATCACCTAACCTGGGGATGAAACATTTGGAAGCTAAACAGCAAACCTGGAGAACGAACCGCCGCCAAAATCTACCACCCGACCTATAAATATTTTCAACCGGGGACTTTGTGGTGTCCCTGGAATCCACGGAATGTGTTTTCCTTGTTTCTCGTCTCTATGGGACGATTTAGGTCCAGATGGACCGTCCGGCTGACGGGATATTGACGACTTTTCGGGAGCTCCCAAATTGCCCATCGTCTTGCCACGATGTCAGCTCCGTCCCCACTAGAGTTGTTGAGTGAGCCAGGCAGTTGTTAAATGGCCCTTTGCCTTTGTCTTTGAATGTCACCCAGAAACGTGGCCCCTTCTGCTGCCATGAAAAGGAACATCACCAAGGCCATCCTGCAGATGTCGCTGGATCATCACATTGTGACCCCCTACACGGCTATGCTCATTGAGAACCCCGATGGGGATGAGCTGATGCTGGCCGACTCCCCGCAGGACCGCAAGAGAGCCTGTTGTCCAGGTGACCTTCTGCCTGTCCCCGTCCAGACGTGACATGGATGGGAGCAATTGGACTTCACTGTAATGCAGGTCTTTTCTCCCCATCCCCCTCGAAACAGGTGCTCTAACCATTGGGCAGCCCAAGCCGGAGAAGCCCATCTCTGCTTGGACTCGGCATGGCTCACAATCAGCCCTTAGGGGTCCAACGGCAGCAACTATACATACAGGTAAAAGAAGCTGCGTCCCTCTGCTCATCCTGTTCGTTGGTGGGGTTCTCTACACACTTTTCATTAGCCCAGGGAAAGGCCCACTGACCGTTTGGACACACAATATATTATTACTCTTGTTAAGTCTTAACTTCTCAGCTTGGGCTTTTGTGGCTTTGCAGGAGAGGGTGAACTTAGCCTGATTTGGTTAGTGTGTGGCTCATGAGAACCTAATGTTAGTGAATCCAGGAACCAAGAGAAGGGTGGGGTCCTTGGTGCTCTCTGAGCTTGGTTGTTTTCTTGCAGACCT